GACTAAATTTGGCCAAAGCAAGTCACCGCTCGGGGAACAGACAGGCCACCACCGCAGGGCCAGATGATCGATGTTGACGCAACGAATCAGCGCACACTCAAGGCATTTATCGATGTTTTCTGTACGTTTAAATTTTGCGGCAAAACCCAGTGCACACACAAACTGTTTCTGCTACTGTTTTGTGAGTATGTCTCTGATAGCGAATCCGCGACGGATTTCGAAACGTCAGGCGAATAAACATATTATCTCAGCGATCGAGTCGTCTTCTACTTGTCAATCGTGTGTTTGAGTCGGTGACCCATCGGGTGCGGTGATTCCTGTGGAATGAATCCTGCGGGTCTAGGCGCACAACCCCACCACACGCCCCGTCTCCACCTCCCTCACCTCCCCAAATGTGGCATGTTCCGGGACGCCTGGACTCCGCGCAGCGGGTTTCGTGCGCTACTCTGGCCTCCAGTCTTGGTTCAGCACACTGTCCACTGTGGAAGTAAACAAACAGAGCAACTGACTTTTGAATTAAGTTTACATGGGGAATCGGGGGTTATGCAACCAATAGACGGAATGTTGGTTGATATTCACAATGCACGCCTTCTCGTTGCCAAATCCAAAAAGACTGTCATTTATTACTCTGACGTAGGTTATACTGCTGTAGTGACCTATTGGTGGACAGCAAACTCTTACGATAAAGGTTTGCAAGCACCTAAAGAGGGCTTTTCTCGTAGGAAGAATGTCGAGGGCCTCCCTGGATAGAATGACTCAACCCCGGGTACACCCGCACAGAGGATTTGGGGGATTACTGACCATTTTAGTCTTTTTTGTCGGGAACACTTCCTTATTATGCAAAATTGCTAGCCATGTCACTGCCTGCGCGGAATGCTCGCGCTCAAGAAGAATAGCTCGCTCATCGTCATCCCGTAACTGGGAAATTAAATAGGAATACTTTTAGGAGTTTGGGGGGTTCTAGATGATTGCTAAGAAAACCTTGCCGGGTAGTCAGCTTACTGCATCCTTAATGGTGGATTTCATACGAGCAGTAGGCTGGGCGGGGAAATCGACCAAAGTGTGATTAAATTCACGGCTCTCGGCGTGCCTTCGTAGCTCAATTTGGCTGTACGAAAGCCTACCCTGCTGATACGCGTTTGAATCCCACCGAGGCTACTACTTTTTCACAATTGGGCCGATTGAATACTTTCTTTTTACGTTGAAATGAGAAAGAGGGCATCGTTGGGTCAAGATTTACCAGGTACCGATTTGAAACCACGGCACTTGGGTAGCGGAGACAATGTCCCACACAGCCACCATCTTGAGCGTTTTGTTCCAACAAATGTGAGTCATGTGTGCCACTGATCGCCTTAAGATATATACTCGTTGTTGATAAAAGAGAATAAGCGAGTTCCTGGAAGCAATTCAAAAGAAGAAGATACCTTGGGCCCTGATCTACAGCCCCCGCCAGCAGCCGCACATAGGCTAGCGGTATGAGGAAAATCAGATGACTGACAAAGATTATGCAGACTGCCGTGACTATTTCTGACTTAGTAGTCAGCATCAGCTAACCATACCCCACCCGAGGATTGCAACCACCGGAAGTTTGAATCCGCATTCTGCGGACGAGAAGTCACACGCTCTAGCTATTGAGCCACGGACTCGTTGTCGGTTATCACATTCGGCCTACATGATTGGCGGCTGCCGATGGGGCTCTAGATCGATACCCAAAACACAACGGCAGATGTACGTCCGGTTCGCGTCCGGTGAGCTCCGCTTCTACATAGTTAATTAACCGTCCCCCCACCCTCACTGGCAGGATATCGGGCCTGCGTCTCAATGATTAGTGCTAGACTTCTAACCAACAGAACGCGTATTCGAGCTTTACGTGCTGGAAGTTGGTGGTCAAAGCTGTCTGAGAAGCCACAAATTGCCACACCAGTCGTCTTTGTCGGCGATTTCTTTCTGAATAACATATCTACCGCCTGAGTGCCAAAGCTCATCGGGTGGGCCGAACGCACAAAGTGTCTGTCCACACTTGTGCCCCCTCCTTCTCCTCCCTCCAACCAACCAACACAAGCTCTGCGGACATTTTTCACGACTGTGCTACGTCGCTGACAGCATAACACTACCGCATTGTCACCAAAGAGTCCAGTACTGTAGCAACCAGTCTACCCTGCATGGAACGGAGCCCCCACGACCAGCTAATGCAGATAGGCGCGTTCGAAGAGTGATGGGGGGGGGGAGGGGGGGCGTGGCAAACGGTGCAATGCAGAAATCAAGCACGATTTGGAATCAGTTTGTAACACGCGAAGCTTGTGGATTTGTTTCTAAAAAAATGAATTGTCCCATAAATGGACGGAAAAGTTATTCAACAAAGGTGTGCCACGCAAACTTACAAGACTGTGATCGCCGCACGCATCCAGCTGGACCTCGCTTCCTCCGATTTTGCGAAAAAAGAGAGTGCTACCTCCTCACGATCGCCGGCGATTGGTAGGATGAACTCGTATGGGAACTGGAAACAGAAACAGAAAAGACAGAATGAAATGGGTTTTCATAAAAAAAAGTAGTGGGGCGTTGGACACCTCTCTCGTCAAGGCAACTACGTCCAGGTAGTGGAAAAAATGCTCGAAGGAAAAACACGCTGACAGCTGCTTTGAAGCGTCCCTTGTTAGACATGTCAGAAGTCACAACTGTTGTACAACTACATCATGCCTTATTAGTCTGGAAATTGGAAAAAAATTGGAAGATTAGCTTAACTTGCATGAAAATTGGGAGCATGAACTGCAAAGTATGCAAAGCTGTAGGAGAAGACCGACACGAGCCTTGGGTGTACAGTAGCGCTTTAGCCGATTTTAGACCTGACATACTTGTCATTCTTTGGTTAGCCGTACTCGATTGACACTAATGCAAATAGGTATTCCCAGGGCTATTGATGGCCCTCTGCACAATTCCAAGTGGTTTAGGGTTAGGCTATGGAGATGGAAGGTTCCATCTAGGATGTTATCGGAAGGTCACCGACCATATGCAGAGTACCTATTCCCCTGTCCAATCCCTGTCGATACTATGCAGTACTCCTACACAGCATCCCAGGCCTCAGGCAAGAACTTTCAATAAAATGCTTTAGCACGAGGTGCACGCATTCTCGTAACAAGCGAAAAAATAAAAGAGGCCAGCCTGGACAGACACTCAAAAGGCAGACGCGGAAGCAACAGCAGCGATCAATGTACTCTGAAGTTAGGACAGAGTTTTCTTCTACCGGAGGTCTCCCAAACATTGGTACTTATCTCAAATTAAGATAGGATTCATAAGTGAGACCAGCATGAAATGAAGCCTTCGGTGCATCGTCTTAAGGAGGATATGGAGGGATCTGAGTAGATTTGCATGGAATCTGAATGTGCGGATGTATTAAAACCGAAGTAGACTGAAACAATGGCATTACAGCGACTGCTAACAGACAGAAAACGGTATTTGTGTGCGGGGACTACGACTGGATGCCGACCGGAAAGGCAGGTTATGGCAGACTTCGGGGAAGACAACTGGGAATTAATAGCATGACTCGACACAGGCAGAACATTTGAGCGCCAGATGGCAAAAGGGTAGACAGGTTAACGATCAGTTCGGTGTTCAAAAGGAGGACCCAGAAGTTTCATGTAAGGCATTGTAATCGACCGAATATATCACTGGTTCTTAGTATCCGGGCTGACATTTTGTCGTTAATCTGAATGCTTCGAGAGATGACGCTTTCAATGTAAGTGAATTTGTATAGTGTAGTGAGGCGACTGTCATCAACGATGCTTGAGGGTATCTTATTTATGTAGAACAAGTATTTTGCCCTGTGCTGGTGTTTACTTTAAAGTTTGTGCATCTGGGACTTAAAACTTTCAGGTTTCGCCTCTGAGTCACTTCGGTTGCGGTGTCCAGTGCCTTTTTCGAAGAGAAAGAGGAGATCACCTGTGCTGGCCCCTTGAGGGTTTTACTCTCGGCGTAAGGATGGTTTAACTTTCTGTTAGCTCGACAGTTTATGCCAACCAGGAGAAAACTCTCATGATAAGCATCTAGCACACACAAAACGCAAGAAGACTGGGAAGAATATGCAACTGTGTCTCCATTCCAATTGGTCACAGCGAGTGGCTCTGGGGGGTGATGCGTGCCCCCATGCTACAGTTGAAGTACCTGGCCATCCAAACGGACCTTTTGGACAACCGAATTTTTCGCGACTTTCCAAGGTTCTTTTCTTTTTACTGTGTTGAACGCCCTTTCGGCAACCTTGAAGGTTATACTGAGGCTGATACTTATTTCAGGCACGCATTCTGTCGGTGTCATTGGACGACGACACTGTTCCACGTTGTTTTCGAAATTATCATCGACTGTCTCAGCAGCGATGTCTTTTATGCAAAAAAAGGCCGTACGGTTGCCTCTTGAGGCAGAATTGTAGTGCGCCTGGGGTGAAATGAGCCTGTAATCTTGTATTCGCGTCTTCTGGAGTGACAAGACAATTCTGTCCGTGAGTGGATGAGGTCCCATCAGAGTTCGGTGTTGTTCAGTACTACTATATGTGGTGGTTTTGGTATTACGGTTTCCTGAGGTCATTTCATCTTTGAGACAACTAGGCAGTGGGCGATACAAGGG